TGGCGAGTGGGAGCAACAGATTGTTGAGAATTTATTGCAGACAAAGAAAACCATGAATCTATAGACAACAATGACATAAATTGCAACGACAGTCAAATTATTGACCCCCCACAACGACAGTGACTTGACGCATGGCGATGTGCTAGACATGTTGACAAGATTACAGAACAAAGACTCCAGTTACTTGACAGATATCCAAAATTTCATAATTCGAACGGAAAACAAAATCGTTGAAAAAAAAAGATGTTCTTTAAAGTAGTCAAAGCTTGATGATTTTTTACATCGTAATTTGATTCATTGACTCACAGTCCCTGTTGAGGGACTGTGATTGACTTAACAGCAAAATCGACTATCTGCATAAATTATGATAATTACATGTAGCTCACGTGAACATACGTTGTGATGTCATCCAAAATGGACGCCTTCAGTTACGATACGCAATACTTACCCGGTCTGTTCGAATAGTTATTTTAATGTTAATTGATGTCATGTACATACCATAATATTTTTGTCTTGTTTGGTAAATTATTTTATTGAAACAATACAATAAATGCACATTGTAAATACATGTAGAATCACCGGAGGCAAACTCCGATGTCTTTCATTTGTCCCGTGTTTACAGCACATGTAATTGTTGTTTCAATCAAAGTCACGCCCACCCTGAATAAACCGACTCCCTCTGAAAACCGACCATAGATCCCAGTCCCAGTCATGGTCGGTTTTGACAGGTTTTACTGTATATCTATATATATATACATATATATATAAATAGTGGTATACCGTAGTTGTGGGATAACAGAATAATGGGCATGGAGTGGAGTGGAACATACTTTGGTGCCTCAGAGTGTGGTCCCCTAACTCCATGGACACTCAGTTTGGACAACTCAGTTTGGACAACTCAGTTTAATGCTATTCTAGCTGTGTAATGTACTACCATATATACAGTTTTAGGTTTGGGAGAATTGTTTTTTATTGGATGGACACAGTATAGTTATCTTCAACTGAAAACTAGTACAGATGGTTGACTTCCTGATCTGCCCTTGTACACTTTGCCCAAATAAATACTGCATTTCTCCGATCATAAGCCCAGGGGCCTGAACATGTAAAATCGGGAAAATTAAGGGATGGGCTTATACTTTCATTTCAATCAAAATGTTTTACCAATTATTGACAATGTAATTATTTAAATGCAATGCGGAAGTGAATTTCCATAATGTTAATCAGTTAGCAGTGATTTTGACAAAATAACAGCGATTTTTTTCCCCCCCTAAAAAGTGGTAATTGGCAATTTTCAAAAAATAAACTGAGTGTGAAGGAAGTATGCAAACACCTTTCACAGTCACTAACATTTGGGAAAAGTAAAAGTTAAACAATTAACCAAACTACTGTACTTGGCATAATTTTTATGCAATGAAACATATACTTTTCACATGTATATTTTAATAAATGTCTTTGTCGCCCAGCAAAAACATCATGGGATTATAAAATTGGGTATGCCCTCAACTCGTTAAATGTCTAAAAATAGAGGGGTGGGTTTATACTCGGGGAAGGGTTTATGATCAGGGAAGTACAGTAAGTGAATACATTATATCAGATGAGTAGTGAATTAATTAAGTGGTCTAGGTGATTACATACATTGAATATTAGGGCATTTTTTGATACATTTCTAGGAAGCTGAACAGCTGTATAGCACTATGGTCAGAAGATTCAACTTTCACAAAGATGTTTGGGCCAGTTATGGAATGTTTTTAATGAAAAGTGGAAAACTGGATGCTGCCCGGAAAATTATGCAGAGAAGCTTTAAGAGCTTAGATAAATCCGATCGTAAGTATTATGGGATAAAGGGGTTTTGAAATGTTGGATATGTCTAGGGTATATTGATATGTCTAAAAATAAAGATCAGTGATTTGAACAATCTGATTAAAATCTGATGTATTGTACGACTTGATTTGATTTTGTTTGTACTATATATTTTTATTATTTTGTAATTGTTAGTCCCCATTTGGACGCTGTCCGAAAACGGGGACTTGTGTTTTGACGTCCGTGGTCCAGTGCGTGTGTCCAGACCTGTATCTTAGAAATGCCTGGACCAATCACAATCAAACTTCACACATACATCATACATGATATTATACATATGCACGTCAATTTGTTTCACGATCTGATTCAAGATGGCCGAATGGCGGCCATTTTTGTTCTAAAAATCATCAAAATCAAGCATTTCTCGACTGTTTACAGATGGATATTGTTCAAACTTGGTATATACATTAGACATTATAGGACCTTGATGCACATCATTTTGTTTTACGATCTGATTCAAGAATGGCGGCCATTTTTGTGCTAAAAAATCCTAAAAATCAAGCATTTCTCGGCTGTTTAATAAAGGATTTTGTTCAAACTTGATATATATGTGGGACATTATGGGTCCTTGATGCAAATAATTTTGTTTTTCAGATAAGATTCAAAATGGCCGACTGGCGGCCATTTTGTTTTATTGAATGGGCTTCTAGACCTCAATATCTCTCAATATGGACAAGTACTTGTTAGACGATCAGATACAAATGTAAATTTTTTTTAAGGTTAAAAAATCATATTCCTGGCATAGTTATATTCCAGCTATATCACTATAAACAAAACTATATATCTTAAATTTGATAACTAACGCGGACTGTGCCATGCATGGCTTGTTAATTATAGTACACTGAACATATAGAAATGACATCATAATAAAAGCTCGCTCTCTGCTTTTTGCATTTCAAATTTTAAATTCATTTTGATTATTTATATTGATTATTTTACTTGAATAATAATATGGTTTGGCTTCTTCTGTATTTAGCTAGAGACGTAAGAATAAAACTGATTACTGGTATATTGTCTTTCTACCTTTGCAAAGTCCTAGGTTTGGTGGGACCAGAAATGCAATTGACTTGTACACTGTTCATGAACTAACAACTGTATTAACTGAGGTCTTGCATGAGTAGATGTATGTATGTCATCAGTGTCACTCACTCGTGAAATTGAACATTCAGTGTAGCCTTTGAATATGACTGCAGGGTTGTAATCAACACATGGCATACTGATTGAGCTGTGGAAATGAAATCAACATTTTCAAAACCACGCATTTTCTGCTATTTGTTTGGTGACCCAATTATCCCTGTGTAGAATTGTTACTCAATCTGTCTGTTCACTAGAGTGGGACACTATGTTATTTAAATGTTGGTGTCTATCAAGATAACGACAATGGAACAATAGTATTGAAAAGACGACAAAAATAGAGAAACTAAATATACTATCTCATCGATATACTCTTTTAAAATCTTACCACTTCAAAAGAAAGCTGCAGTTAAATGGAAACAAAATTCTTTGGCTCAAAATTCTACATCAATTGTGCAATCTAAGATTTTCAAGATGATTAAATAATTCTTAAAAAATAGAAGTGTTTTTTCACAAATAGTTGACATGTTGAGCTGAGTCACAATAATGTTACTTGTGTATAAACAAAATAGCCATTCTGTTACCTGGCTATATTGATATATGATATCTTGTTTTGTTTCAATAATACTTCTTACATAGATGCCTTAGGACAATGCACAGACAGTTTGTTTTGGTTTATATTGATGTATATTAATTACCTAATTTTCTTATAATTAGCTAAATTTCACCAACACTAGGGACGGTGCAAAGACCTGATTACCTTTTGGTTGGAATCCATGTGTTTTAATAGATTTTCTCAAACTTGGTACATACCAGGAATAAGCCATATAAATTAAAATGCAGCTTAATAATTACCTAGTATATGTTAACCATTTTTAGGTATTCCACAGATATCTTGATTACCCTGCATCAAATGAAATTAAACTTCGTATATTGGTGTTTTTGAATAATCCACAGATACTTCAGTGTTGAAATCCTTGCATATTAATTACCTACTTTGTATAAATCGGTTTTGTGACCATGTTTATATGTATAACTAATATTTCAATCACTGTTGCAGACTAATGCTATAATGGAGGCATTTGACAAGAGATATGAGTAGTGACTGGAATGATATGCATAACTGTAATATCTTTAGTACTGTTGTAGATAGGGACATACTATAATTGTGTTGTCAGGCAAGATATATGATTAAAATAACATATCCACTTTGAACCACCCAGATCATTGCATATTTTGAAATGCACGATTTGCTCTATTAAAATAACATGTGAATGTAAATAACAAAGGCAAGTCCATGGTCAAAATACCTCATCACACAGGTTTCTTTCTAAGCTTCTTTGATTTGTCAGTATAATTAACTTCAATATTGTGGATCCGATTGCTTTAACATGCTTCTCAAAGATTAGAGCTAAACACATTAGTCATCAGGCATCTTGTTTAAAAAGGTAATCTTAAATTTTCAAATAAGCCCCTATTTCAACTTCATATGCCGCCAATACTCTTAACACAAGAATTCAGGAGTAACACAACTTTTTTTATAATAAAAATTTGCTTTCAGGTGTAAATAATGTGGATGGCCTTAAAAATGTCTTAAAGGGGCACCTTCCAGTTAAGCCTAATCCCACAACAAATTTACTTTCTGAATTAAAATAACAATGGATAACAAAAGATAGATTAACATTGTAAACAACATAAACAATAGTGTCCCATGATTCTTTGGTGCAATCCATGGCATTGAGCGGGTTCCCCTTTAACTCTTAAAAATCTTTTTGCTGAGATTTTGAAAATGTCTGAAAAAACAGTTCACAATATAATATTCTGATTTCCTTTAAACAGGAGATAACCCATTGATGATTGTCAGGTACCCATGGGTGATTGTCAGTAACCCATTGAGGATTGTCAGTAACCCATTGATGATTGTCAGGTACCCATGGGTGATTGTCAGTAACCCATTGAGGATTGTCAGTAACCCATTGATGATTGTCAGGTACCCATGGGTGATTGTCAGTAACCCATTGATGATTGTCAGGTACCCATGGGTGATTGTCAGGTACCCCATTGATGATTGTCAGGTACCCATGGGTGATTGTCAGTAACCCATTGAGGATTGTCAGTAACCCATTGATGATTGTCAGTAACCCACCCGTGATTGTCAGTACCGGTAACTCATTAATGATTGTTTGTTCACAGATGTGGAAATTATAGTGAAATTTGCACAGTTTGAGTTCAAATTTGGTGAGCCAGAGAGAGGACGTACTATGTTTGAGAATGTGTTAAGCAACTATCCGAAGAGGACTGATATCTGGTCAATATATATTGATATGGTAATCAAGCAGGGTCACATTGACGCTATCAGGTAATGTATTCACCATCACAGTCCCTCCACAACCGGTTATGAAACTGTCAGATATCTATTGTTACAATGCGTGTTTCGGTTAATCTGTTGTTTATTTAACAGCTTAATCGTTGTTTATTTCGGTAGCGGTAAAATACGGACATTCTGCCATCTTTCCCCAACATTAACATAAAATTAGCATATCCGATGATGTAATTTCTCCCACAAAGCATTGCGTTTCTTTAGTGCGCATGCATACTTTTAATTTTTTCATTCGTGTCAACATAGTCTTTACTTCTGTGATCTCTCTAAAATAGTACTGTAATGTGGAAATCCTACGATGATTTCGTCGATTTTGACGATGAAAATGTCGATTGGCCATCAGATTTAGAGGAGAAAAGCCGTGATGCTGAGTCTGATTCAGATTACGAGCCAACAGTGGACGAAGCAATGGCGGGCGACTATACAAAATCGCTGTCGTTTCAGGAAACAATATACACAAAATAAGAATAAATGTGAACAGAAAACTAGCATTACTGTCTATCAGTAAATATTGATGAATATATGTATATAATCAGCGACGAAATCACGACATTTTTAAAAATGAAACCGATCTACCGAGTGGCAGCCATTTTGTTTTACACACAAAAAAACAAACGAGTCGCGAAATAAACGATTTCAATTTTAATATATGTCCTATAACGCAATAAACTGAATTAACCTGGTTAAATCCTATTCAATTTTAAGATAATTTGAAAAATTATCATTATATATTTGATAAAGTGTCAACAATTTGGATCAAAACTACCGACATCGTCATAACACAAATGCAATGACCGATTCTAAAACTGCCCCTGAAGTTTTCAGTCACAAATCATTTGATACCTCGGATAAAAACGACATACACTACCTAATATTCACTCAAGATGTTCCTGACAACTAAATAAAATCAAATAATAGCGTCAATTACGAAATATATTTGAAAAAACTATTACACTACGTTGATTTCTCTGACTCGACCAATGACAGACCTCAGTGTGAGCACTTCAGCGTGAACTATGACGTCATCACTTCAACTGGAAGGCCCAAACGCGCATTGTTTCTCGATCTAAGCTCGTTCACACATTTTGACAATAGCGTTTCATAACCGGTTGTGGAGGAACTGTGGCACCATGTGCTCATCGAATGCCTTACCATTCCAACGTTCATATATGTTGAGAAGATTACACCATCTTTTTATAGTGATTTTATTATAACATTGTACTCAAAACACAATTTCCATATATAATGAGCACTTGAGGTAATCAATCCTGTCATGTGTTAATAGAATAGCTACTATTAGGGATTGTGTAGTTTGTAATTATGTATGGATGCTAAAGCAGTGAGAAAATATACAGTGTGGTGTAAAACATGATCTACTGGGAGAAAACAGACAGAATATATTGTGCCATTTTGTTTTAATTAATGGTGTTCCAAAGATGTATGTTTTTGTATTTCTGACATGCCTCGACTGATCATGTTCAAATTGTGCACATGCCTTGTATGTAATGTCACACATATGCACATGCAATTGTCAAATCGAAGGTAAAAATGCATCTCGGGGACTTGGGCATATGTTTATGACTTGTCTAAATATTTTGCCAAGCAAACTCTAACTGTCCTATAAATGTGGGATTATTAGTATTTACTAAGAAGTAAATTAAAAGGTTTTCTCATGCAATGGTGGCATAGTATTAACCTTTGAACTGTTAATGTAGACTCAAAATGTGTGTTATGTTAGACAAGATTTGTGTATTAGTGCTAATACTATTAATGGATACTGAAAGGATAAGTCATGATATTAAGCATAACAATTTTGTAAGCTTATAATGGCTGTTGTATGTACCATGTAAGACTATTGATAAATCTGTGTGATTTATTCCAGGCAACTATTTGAAAGGGTAATCCACCTTAATCTTTCCCCAAAAAGGATGAAGTTCTTTTTTAAGAGATACTTGGAATTTGAGAAGAAATATGGAGAGGAAAGCACAGTTGAAAATGTAAAGCAGAAAGCTATGCACTATGTTGAGTCAAAAGTCAGCATTTCAGAATCTTCCTGAGATGTATCAAAATATCCAACCCAGTCTGCCGGAAATTTGATTTGTCTATTCCTACAAACCCACTCAAACTTATGTATGGAATTAAAGAAGAAATTTTGTTTGTTTATACAGTAATGTATCATACACATTGATGTCTTGTGTAACCTAAAACTTGTTTATCTTTGGTTTGTTTATGTCGTTATAGACAACTCACTTTACAATAAAGACAATAAGTGTACTTGAATGAAGTGACACACTGGGATGTAACTTTATTTAAAAAAAAATAATAATAAATGAATATTCTTCTGAAGTTAGTTGTGTATGTAGATTTAACATACTAGAAACCTTGATCTTGTGGACCTTAATTTTAGTTTTCTGAGAGACTTGATTGTTAAAAACAATTCAGCGCACAATGTATGCTTATTATACATTCAGCAGAGACAAGATAAAGAAATGCTGATTACACTTGCAAATGTATTTGCTGTGTCACTGAATGGAGGAAAAGTGGTAAACCTTGGAAATAAAAACTACTAATATAGCAAAATGACTGAGATACTACTAATAATTATTTATAATCTAACAATATTTTTAGGGGGGTTGATGTCAGTGGTCATAAGTGATTACTGCCAGTTTTGTATCAATTCAAGTCTCAGGAGACTTGATTCTTTGATCTGAAGTGTTTTCTGATGTCAACCTAAGAGGATATCACAGGATTATATATATTCATCACATCCATATTTCCACAGTCCCAAATTAGTGATACACCATGAACTTGACAAAATTAACAATTTTTACTTTTTATAATCAGACTGTATATATGATCAATTGTAAAAGGTTTCTTTAACACATTTGGCACTTATACATACTGCAATCCAAATTACAAGTGAATGTGCTTAGTTGTTCAGTCAGTAGTAAATGTTTATCAAGA